TTCTTTTTGCACCTGGAAAAATTTTATTCCTGTAAAATCTATAGACTTTAATACCCCTTCATTTTCCCAGTCAGACAAGAAAAAAAAAACATATACAGATTGCATATTATTTACATGGGTTGTTCCATCATTCCAATTTTTCAGTTAGGTTATGGTGCTTCAGAATATACAGTGGTTTTATCATAAGATCAATGAGATTGTGTTATGAATCACAATTCTTCAATTTAATTAACCCACTTTCAACTGCTTGACATACATTGCAGTATTTTATATTACATGTTTGGTGCATGATTTTACTCTTTCAGCATTAGCCATGTGAATGCATGTTTGGTTATCCTCATTGACTTTCACTGGCTGATTTACTTGTACGTTTAAGTCCTTCAACATTTGCACAAATCAAGTTACCTCAGTGCATTATTCTGAGAGTGCAGCAAATTCAGCTTCTGTAGTTGAAATTGATACTATTCCTTGCTTCCTGGACCTCCATCCAACTAGTGAATTTGCAAATGTTAGCAGCATGCTGCTTGTTGATTTATGATCAGATACATTACCTCCACAATCCCTGTCCACAAAACATTCTAGTTCCTCTGGTCCAGAGGAATGCAATTTTAAACAATAGTTTAGTATACCTTTTAAATATCTCAACACTCTTTTAACTGCCTGCCACGCTGTTGTTGTTGGTTTGGATACCTATTATACTGACAATATCTGGTCTGGACCACTGGGCTAAATATAACAGGCTTCCAATTGCAGACTAATAGAGCCTCCCTCCACCTGAGTCCTCCTTTCAAAGCTTTGGAATGATGGTGGGCAGAGCAGGCAGCCTCCCTTCACCTGAGTCCTCCTTGCCTTTCAAAGCTTTGGGATGATGGTGGGCATAGCAAGATAGCCTCCCTCCACCTGAGTCCTCCTTGCCTTTCAAAGCTTTGGGATGATGGTGGGCAGAGCAAGGCATCCTTCCTCCACCTGAGTTCTCCTTTCAAAGCTTTGGGGTGATGGTGGCAGGAGTAAGGCTGCCAGGGACAAAACCAAACACTTATTTTCCACTCTTACAATTGGAGTGGAATTTACACCTTTCCTTTGTGTAAACCCTTGTGATACGAGATGTGCTTTGTACTTTATGTCCCCTGACACTAATTGATTGTGTTTGAATACCCAGTGACACTTTTTTTCTTTTGAGTAACTGTGTGAGTGTGAACACTTTGTGGTCTGCCATAGACTGCATTTCCTGATCCATAGCTGAAAACCCCTGGTTAGATTCAATTTGGGGTAACTGCAAAACTTCAGAAGTTTGAGGTTCAAAACTTACTTGGGACACTCTTACACCCCCAACAGTAAAACGCTGAGAAGGTATTCCTTTAGTTGGAACAAAATCCTCAGTTTGTTCTGCTACTTTCACCTCTGTTTTATGACTATCAGAACTGGCCACTTGTTGCCATGGTAATGGCAGTGGCTGCTGTTCAAAGGAATCATTCACTGTCTCTGGTAAAACAATTATGAGTTTGCATGAATGCTTTGCCAATTATCTTGTTCAGCAAACTATGCACTTCTGAATATGACCAGTTTTCCATCTTCAAGGTAAAAACAATAGGACTTTGATCCAGGCTGACAGCCAACAAAATGTAGCTTTATAGACTTAGGTTGTCCCTTCTTGTGCTGAGATTTAGGAATGTGTACCCATGCAAAACACCCAAAAGTTCATAAATGTGACACAGAAGATTTCTTCCTATAAAGAAGGAAAAAAAGGTGTATCATTTAACACTGAACTTCAAAGCATTTTTTGAATACAGTTAGCAGTCAAAACAGCTTTTCCCCAGTACTGTTTTGGTAGCCCTGTATCACTGAGCAATGAATCTTTCATAACTTGCAATATGCCCCCTTTCTCTCAGCTATACCATTCTTGGAACAAGGCAAATAGTGCCAGGGGCCAACAATGGGAGGGGAAAAACTTTACACAAGCATCTAGCTGAATGACCCATGGTCTTAGATGTCTCTACACTAATTCACAGAGCATGGGAAATAAACAAGATGACTTTGAAATCCTTGCACAACTCAGCAAATATGATACACAGTCAGCCCTCCATTTTCATGGGGATTCATCCTGGACACACACACACCCATGAAAATGGAGATTCACCAATATTCAAGCCCCATAGGCCTCACTGAAACTGATTGAATGAGTCTCAAGACTGGGATGTAATAACAGAGGGCATAACTTTTTTAAAGAGAAATAGGTCAAATAGAAAAGGAGGAGGAATAGTATTATATCTCAGGGACGTTTACACCTGTGAAGAGATCCAGGACTTAAATCCTGGAA